CATCAAGTGCTGTCTCATTTCACTCACTTTTCTGCTGCCCACCCCCCTGGGATGGGGGCCATCCATTGATCATTGTGATTGGTTCCCCCTTACTCCCCCTTCCCCTTTCCCATGCCCTCCTAGTATGGCTGCTCGCCTTATTGGTCCTGAGGGCTTTATCTGTTCTGAATATTTTCTTTATATTTATTTGGATCCCCACTGTCATCATTTTAAGACATCTCAATTAAGAAAACAGTGTTATTTCTGTATCTCACCATTCAACTTTTACATGGAGTTCATACTCCTTCATTCATCCTTTTGCTCTTCACTAATCAAAATAAGTGACATTGAAATTCAATCAAATGCAATTCCTATCCATAAGCAAATGCTAAATTCATCCTATATCAAGTGCCTTCCTACTCCATATTAAATTTATAAAAGTCATCATCATTTGAGTCCACTAAAACGTGATTAAAGAAACTTACTTTGACTATATTTGTACACAGACCAGTTTCAGGAAATAAATTCACTAAGAATTTATAGGCTTACCCTGGCTTTACCTATACAAATTGTTTTGGAAAATAAAGGTTGTATTGCATAGTTGGAGGTTATCCATGGAATAAAAATTCAGTTATTTTACTTCACTAGCATCTGAAATTAATACTTAAATCAAACAGCCTCTTTCTTCATTTCCCAACAATGTCAACATGAGAAAAGTCAGGGGGAAAGATGATGATTGTTTGGAATAAATACCAAGAAATAATATGATGAAAAGTGATAAAAACAGGGGGACAATGGAGAGGTTCAAGAAATTAAGGAAACGATTTAAAGGTCAGATTATACTGCTCAGTCAAATCCTATAAACTCAGATGCATCATATATTACTCATCTTTGCATCCTCCTTGGGACAAAGGAAATGTTAAACATGTGCCCACTGTTAAAAGTAATCTACATAAAATAAATTTTGAATTACCAAATATTATAAGAACACCAATATGTCTCAAAATACATCAACTTTATTTTTGATAACCCCAAAATTCAAAATACTTTCTGAACTGTCTTTCATGGTTTCTAACCATCCTGATGTGCTGTGACAGTTTGGTGTATGACTTGAACGTGCCCTATTCTGCCAGGCCCAGCCTATCTGCATGACATGGGAGAAACTGAAAACCGATTTTTAACTCCATCCCATGTTAGAAATTTGTATCTTATCAATTTTCTTCCAGATGCAAAGGTAGCGAATCGAGCACACTTACCTCAAATCTCTGTGAGCTGTGGATTTTTATGACATTTCTCTGCCACACAGGTTTGAGCCCCGCTGTGTTTTGCCACAAAGGTTGAATGGGACTACCACAAGCAGTTTGAAGACCCACCATTAAACTTCCACTCATTTGGCTGAAGAAGTGATAAAATACAATCTATGAGAAATAAATAAATAAAATGAGTGTCCAAATGAAAATAATAAGGAATTTCCCAAATGTAAAATGTATTTTTTAAATGGTGTATGTTTAAATACCTGACAAGCATTTTGCTTATCCGTCGGAAGGAAAATTCTGCTTCTTAGATTTGAGGCTGTAGATCCCAATCCGGAGACCAAAGAGAGGAAATGGGCTGTTAAAGAAAGGAATCAGCATGTTATAATCAGAGGAATCGCTGGCAAACTCAATGAAAACATCAGGTTGTATTTCTAGCCAAGTTCCGCTGTAGATTGATATGCATTTGTTTACAAAATGAAACAGCAGTCGACCCATTGCTTTTGTAAACGGTCTGATATTTGACCTTCATTCATTTCCACCAGTGAAATCAGGAGCTGTGATTACCCTCCCTCTGCTCTGTGTGAAGAGTCCTGGTGACATGGTGACAAGCTTAGCTGTTCACAAATAGGTCCCCAATTTGCACCTGCCAGTCCCTTCACAGGAAAGAAGACCTGGTGATCTGCTCTGGTAGAGAGCTCTGTCCTTGTTAGATGCCATCGGGAGGTTTCTAACCCGTAGCAGCTTTGTTCGCAGCGGAAGGAAACACTGCCCAGTCCCGTCATCCTTGCCCTTGTTCCTGTGCTTGAGGCCACCATACGGAGCAGTTCTGCTCTGTCTTAGAGGGTCTCTGCAAGGTAGGATGGCCCAAGACAGCAAGGATACACACTCTCAGAGGCTACAGTGCCTAATCCCAATTTGTCACATGGACTGTAGTTGCTACGGTGCCGAACAGGTTTCAGCAGAGCTTCCAGACTAAGATTAGGGGACAAAAGAAAAAACAAAAGGGCTGGTGATGTGTTTTCAAAGGAGCCTTACGATGACAGTGTAGTGCGTTGGGGCTCACTAGAGAAACAAAACCAGGACACTTATGAATATATATATATCCATATATATGAGGATAAGCTTATACAGCAATAAGGGCTATAATAGCTAATTAGTCCACACAGCAGAATAGAGGGTTCAGTTCAACTCACTTCCGTGGAACAGTTAATACACTGGAAGTCCTTCAACTCATGTGGGTTGCCACCTCCAAGGAAGGTGAGTCCTCCCTCAGGCAAGGCAGGCAGAGTCTGCTCACAGGCAGCAAACAGCAGGGTGGGTCAGCAAGAGTCAGTCGCTTGGGAGCTTAGAGAAGCAGGCCCAGAATGGCATGCATATGGAAATCAAGCAATACAAGGCAACAGGATCCACCAGCCTCAAGGTCAAGTGAGGTTGGCAAAATAAACCTATCACTTGGTTTAAGTGTTAACCCAAGGTCAGAAGTTGCAACCCACCAGCTGCTCCTGGAAAGATGAGGCTTTCTGATCCTATAGAGATGTACAGCCTTAGGGACCCAAAGGGGCAGTTCTACTCTGCCCTATATATTCGCTGTAAATTAGAATCAACTTGATGGTAGTGAGTTGTTGTCTTGGAGTTTTTTGCTCTGTTTCTGTGTGGAATATTTGGCATCCCTTCACAAATTAGCTCATAAAAAACCCTACTGCACCACAACTGTCCAATTCACTGGGCATGGGAGCACCATAAATCAAAGCCCATCTCAATGGCAGTTAACAACTTGAACAAATTACAACCCTGCAAAGAGCAAATCAAAAACCAAATCACTGACAACGAATCTATTCCGACTCACAGCGAACCTGTTAACACAGGACAGAACTACCCCCGGTAGGTTTCCAAGACTGAAGTTCTTCACAGTATCTGGACAAGCATTTTATTGGGGGCTGTGAGATATTTATTTGCTGTGATTTTTTTCCAAAATAATTCAAAAATAGGTCTCAAATATTCCAAGGCACATGAAACAACTCTGAGCCCTGATACTCTTCTGATTGCTGCAGTAGACTATGATAGTGGATTGTCACTGCTTGGAAGCCTTTGAAATAAATGTTGAACACTCTTTGGGATTTCACAGATTTATTCCAATGCTTTACAAGAGTTATAGTGCACAATCTGGGAACCATTGTTTTCAGAAAACTTACTTAATTTTTTCTCATTTATAAAGAGAAATGTAAAAATTATGTTGAAGACAATTATGATGATCTATCTACCTGAGCAATTCAATGGCATTTTTTAAAGATGGATTGGAAATCAAATGTAATTATCACAACATTGAATCAATAGTAAAATTATAAAATTTTAAAAAACCTGATCTTCCTTCTTCCTATTCCAAAATTGCACTCTAATTAAACAGAAAACAATGGCATTAATGGCTGCTTTAACATAGTCAGAGTCATAATTGAAATCATTACATTAACAGGTGATTGTTCTAGGGAAGAACTCTCTGGAATTAATATATACACATAATTTGGATGAAGAGCTGGTATCCTGGTGATACGGGTAGACTGCTAATGCTTTTCTCTTGCTTTGTAGCCTGCAGGTAAAGCATCTTAAGCAAGTGAATAATCAAATAAGCATAATGAACCACACGGATATATTATTTTAAGTTTTAGATAATATTACTAGCAACACGAATTATAATAGTACTCAACAGACCTTGAGTCATTATTTATCAATATTCAGCTAATAAAATTATCCCTTGTATCTGGGGAAGAATTATTTACATTCATCAGGGAAATTACTTTAATTTCCCTGATATTTATTTAAAATGTTAGTCTTAAAATCAATTTTACCAAATTGAAGCATTAAATAGTAAAGTATTTGCAATAGTATTTTTCATTGCACACACAAATAAACAATATTCAAATATTTGAACAGAGTGTTTTAAGAGCATCAGCCATGGATTTGGGTGTGCACTATGGCACTGTAAATTATTTTGAATCTTTTTTCAAAAGTTAAATACAGATTATTCCTCCAGATTGAGTTGAAAATAAATCTAAAATTCAGAAGTGAACTAAATAGAATTACATTCATTTTAGTAAAGTAATAGGACCCCCATCTCCCCATAAAAAGTCCACAATGTACCTTAGATAGTAAAGTCTGCTTTATGCCTTTAATTTCAAGTTAGTGACAACAGCGAACATTTTTGAAATACACATTCTATTTTCACATGCTCCTTAGATTATGAATATTGGATTTCTCTAACTCACATATGGAAATGTTCCTTAGAGATGAATACTGCATTAGTGAAAGTTATCTTGCTCTCCAAAGAGATTTGGTCTTTGTGTTTATTTATGAGCATGAAAGAAAGGAACAGATTTATATTGTTCTAAGATGCTCTTTCCACCTCTGACACTCCTGCCTCTCACTGCTTCTCGCCATCACGAAGAGAACGGATAGAGATGATACTGTATCCTGTATTCTTTCTGCTCAAGCTGATACTATATCCTGTATTCTTTCTGCTCACTCGTGAAGCAGCCAGTTCTACACATCTAACACAGGTGTACAGAAACCCAAAGATACATACTCGCATCCCCATATGTCTCCTATGAGTCTCTCCATACACATTTATCTATGGTTCATAAATTTCTATTTCATGGTTACATCTATAAAAGTGAATTAAAATAATATCTCTAAGTTTCTCTTGTTATAAAGTGTAAATATGAGATTCAAAAGAAGAAAACAGAGCATGCTTTGACTTATCATCATAAATGTTAGAGGGCTATAGATTTTTTTTCTCAGTAACTGAGTAAGTGTTGTAGTAAAATCACAAAATACACCAAATCTGATAACAAAAAGGGAAAGACATAAATATGAAAGTAAAAAAAA